TATTTAATTTTTCGACAAATGCCTATTTATAACAACAGAGACGTTCATTTTCATAACTTATTATTATATTGATTTCTGATTCAAATCCACATTTATTTAGAATAATTTATTAACGAACACAATTAAGTATGTAATTAATTAGTATATGGGCGGAAATAATGGTGTTATATTTAATTAATGGTATAGGTACTCTTTTATAAAGATTTAAATAGTTTTCTTTTTGCATACAAATGGGCTAGTAATATTATCGTTTTGCTAAAAACGATAATATTACTAGCCTGTACATTTTGTACATTTGTTGCTTTAAAAACAATCTAAAATGTCAATATTCCATGGGTATATTGATAAATAGGGTCTAAATTATAAGAAAATGCATTTTCTACGAAAACTTGAAGGGATAGGTAAAATAGTATAATACAATTTGATAGACAATTAAATTGTGCATCTGATTCTCCTAAAATATACAGAGCGTTCCATTTAAATTAAAGAAGTTATTATGCTTAAAGCTAGAAATTATTTAAAATAAATTTTTAGACACTCTGTATAAGGTAGTATTATTTTTTATTATTGCAACACAATAACTGATCAATAAATAAACTTCAGTAAATATTTAGTATTAAAAACTTTGATACCCTTGGAGAAATGAAGCCTGAAATTTTTACTGCAATTTCCCAAAATTGAAAATATTTCAAAAAACGGTAAGGTTTAAGTGTAATAAACCTTAATCAAATTTACCTTTATTTTAATCGTAGAAACTAAAAATGAAATAATATACAGGGTGTTCCATTTAAAAAAATACAACTTTGATATTTTTTACTTATTTGGGACACTCTGTATCTTGTCAAATTATTTTTAAATTGTACCTCTAATAGTCCTTCATCGAACCCAAAACTTGAAATTTGTAAAAATATAATCGTTTAGCTATAATACTCCGTGTCGTATGTGGTGAACAACCCTGTATTATATGTAAATGTGATTTTTTGGTCCCGGCCAAGACAAAATTTTCGCCGGGACAAACTTTTTGATTCCTGGTTAATCCCGGTCAAACCGGGACGGTTGGGAACCCTAGTTGTAATAGAGAGAATTCTATATTCTCTAATAAATAGTATTGTGCGGAAACGTTTCTTTATAAAATCATGTCTGGTGGCCTACTAAGAATAGCTCTCGGCTGTATCTCGGAAAGTAATTAGCCGTAGGGTCCACGGAACAAAATATTTCTAACTAAAGAGACTATGGGAAATTGCTGGAAATTATTTTGAAATTTGTAGAACGGCCGCTAGAGGGCGCAACTGCTATGGAAAATAAGAAAATAGAATTTTTACAATATTCTGCCTAGATAAGGGGTATTATAAATAATAGCTTTATAATATTCAGTAAATTTGTTTTTTTTTGTTAGGACCATTTTTTCCTATCTGCCAAAATATAGTGGCGGGAGAAGGTTAGATCCGTTTTTTTTAAATGTTAATAACTCCGGACTCTAAAATCCAACAACGAGGGCTATTAAAAGAGCGTTCCTTGCTCTATATTATACCATAAAATTAATTACAATAAGCTGTTGAACGTAGAAAAAAATAAATGCGATTAGATGCGCCAATAATTTCCAGCAATTTCTCATAGCCTCTTTAGTTATACCAAGTTATACATATTCACAGATATATATCTAAGCACAAACGGGAATGTAGGTATCTTTATACCTTTCAGTTTTATTATACTTGAATTAAAGACAAAAAAATGAAACTAAATCTAGTTGGTTTTGAAATGCTGATCGATGACATTCCCATATAATTTTACCCTAGATCATATATACTTACGTGGATAAGTCAACGCCATAAGTTTAGCATAAAAAATATGTCTCCAACATCACGACATTCCATTTTCGAACCTTCTTTATTGCAGTTATGAAACATTCCATAGGTTTGTCTTTCTCGAGGACCTTACTTTGCGCATGCGCATTAAAAGTGGCACGTATATCCAAAATAATTACAATTTTATCCGGTTTAGAAAGTACAAATTATTCATTGTTATGGAAACCAACTTTTCATTGTCATCGTATTGTCATAATCTTGTCATAATCATATGTCATGATGTTATTTCCATTGTGTAACGATGCTTGTTTTTTGGGTCTTTTATTTTAAACATTGTATTAATACTCTTTTATCGACCGCTTTTATATAGCCAAGGATGCAAGTGTGTTCAGTGGGAAGTTAATTTTAAGTTTGTGTAATTATATTTCTATTTTTTACTCGTTGGGTTTTAATTTTTGGGTAAATACTCGTAAAAATGACAAGGAAGTGTTTGGTGTGTTGAAATTATAATATAAATGTCCCCGAATTATCTTTTCACAGGCAAGTAAAGTATTCAGTTGTTCTTTTATGTATATTAAACCACATGCATACTTTCTGGTTAGATTTCCTAAGAATATTGATATTCGTACGGAGTGGCTAATTTATTTTTCATTTAATTTATTTTTGTGACAGTAACATTCAATTATTGTTCAAATATATGCATTTTAAAAATTGAATTTTTAAAATTAATTTTCAAATTTGACGCGTGGACGATAGGCCCTCGACAAGGATAGAAAGAGTATTGTAGAAGCACCGCGTGTGCAACAAAAAAAGAAGATAAATGGAAGTCGTTGATATGTTTGGGACAGTTTCCATAGTGATTTACTTATCCACGTAAGTATATATGGTCTAGGAATTTTACATATAAAATGACACCGATCTTCATTTCATAGCCGTCACTGACGCCGTTTTTTTCTCTATCATATTGTATTTAGTATTTGTGAATCTACACTGTATATATTATGTGGCTCAATCACATAAAACGTGAGTAACCCGAATATCACTAATATTGAACTTATTATAATATACCTTTTAATATACCAATTTTAAAGCTGTTAGATCAGTTAATGATTTGGTATTATTTATGTTTATACTTTGATATTATAAATTCGCAATGCCATTAATTTTATCATAAATTCTTAAGCCGCATCTTTTATATTTCCAAAAATATATATGAATTAATATCATAGAGATAAGACAATTATTAATAGTGATTTTTGACTTCTAAGTTTTGATTTTGAACTTGTGATATTACTAAAAACTTGGATGACTCATTCTTATTATTAAACCATTTGACGATCATAACAAAATCGCGTTCCATTTATATACACTTTTTTATTACGGAAGCATCAAAATAGTCCTTTCCCAAGAGTAATTTTAACTGAATATTATGACGCCACTTTTTTCGACAGTACGGTATACAGGGTGGCGCCTTTCATACGCCGCGGAAGCTCCAAGGAGAACGGTAGTATATATCGAAATAAAATTTTGGCAGCATATGTAGGTTAACTGAAAGCATTTTATAAAAAATATATAGACTTATACAGGGTGTCCCCAAAAAAAGTTATAACACATAGTTATATATTAATTGATTTTCGGATTCTAGGAAAAAAATAAAGGTGAGTTATATTAAAGAAACATATACCAAAAATCTAAGGATTTTGACATATTTCACATTTTGTGAAAATGAAGAGTAAATTTTAAATTTCGATAACAGCTACCTAAATTTTAGTTGACCTTGTATAGCCTGATATTTAATTACAGTAACCATTGTATGTTAAACCAAATTGAAATTTGACCCGAAAAGTTATACAGGGTGAGACAAAATTAATATGGAACATTAGTCACCTTTAAAAGCAAGTTACTCCTTTATTTTAAATGGAACACCTAGTATATTTTTCCGGTGTTCAATGAGAAATTTATATATCTTCAAAATATTATTAAGGTTTCCTACCCCTCAGACAAAGATTTTCCCAGATATTTTAATTTTTATGATTTTGCGTCAGTAAATCTTTATTATTTGAAAAAATCTAGGTGGCTGTGTGATATAACTTTTGTTAATTTAACAAAAATTAAAGATTGTTGAGTATTCAGTACTCAAAGGTAATAAAAAGATACACGTTTAAAACATGCAAAAAAAACTGCATAAAATTGCTGTCTTTTCAAATGGATCTTTCCATTTTAAAAGGCATTTATGTGGAGTTCTACCTCGAAAAGCAGCTACAATAATTTATTATTATTACAATTAGATAACTATGTTGAACGTCAGACATATCACAGCCATCTAGATTTTACCAAATAATAAAGATCTACTCAGGTCAAATCATGTAAATGAAAATATCTAGGAAAATATTTGTTTTAGGGGTAGGCAACCTTAATAGTATTTTGAAGAGACATGAATTCTCCATTGAATGTCGGAATAATATACTGGGTGTTCCATATAAAATTAAAAAGAGATTAACATGCTTTTAAAAGTGACCAATGTTCAATATTAATTTTGTCTCACCTTGTATAACTTTCTGGATCAAGTTTTAATTTGATTTAAAGTACAATATAACTACATACAGTTTAGCTAGCTTTTATTGTAATTTAAAAATTGTTCTTTATTTCTAGATAATGTTAAATATGTCAAAAACCTTTCATTTTAGTCATATACTTCTCTTATAAAACTCACCTTTATTTTTCTCCCAGAAACCGAAAATCAATTAATATATAGAGTGTTCCATTACAAAAAACACAACTTTGATATGTAACTTTGTTTGGGGACACCCTGTAGAACTCTCTATATTTTTAAAAAGTGCTCTAAATTAACCTACATATGCTCACAAAATTTCATTTTAATACAAACACCCGTTCTCCTTAGAGCCTCCGCGGCGTATGAGAGGCGCCACCCTGTATTAATCATGTAAATTATTTAAGACGTATTAGTAAAAAAAAGCTGTTTTATTTCCAAAAAAACAAAATTTTTGTCTATAAATTTCGATTCGGGTTATAAAAGGTAAAAAATTGCTAAAATTTGTGTTGATTTCTAAAATAAATATAAAATAAAAAGTGTTCTATTTTAAATGGCTTTGAAATGCATTGGTATATCACAAGCAATTTCTTGGAACTTCAATTCAAAAAGTTGGAAGGAAATGAAAGTATCGCATCCCTGTAGCCAAAAGTGAGTTTATTATTTTGTTAAAATATCATACAATTACTTCCGTGTTAAAACTATATTAATAAATATTCATCAATCAGTCTTCTCTAACAATTAATTAATTGTAAATGTAGTTAGTACGTTATTAAGTATTAGGGTATTATTTAGTACGAAAATTAGCTGTGTAAATTTATTTATGTATTAAAATAATATCGAGTTAATTACTAAAAAATAAATTAAAAAATAAACTAAAATTAATTTATCACACTGAAATATATCTTACTAATCTCATACATTTATTAAGTTAGTTTATATTAACTAAAACTAATGTTAAAATATATATAATTATTTTATTAGAGTATTAGATAATCTCAAATATTCGATATATTTATTCTAAATAAATATCTATGGTTATTCTTCAAAGATTTTGCAAGAATGTATTTTCTTGCAGGGTTCGTATTCGTGCGGTTTTGCGCCACTATCGCAGTAGTGGTCAGGAAGCGCCATCTCTTGGCCATCAATGCACATTACGTTTCTTCGTCTCATAGGCATCCTTCCCTAAGAAATAAAAACAATTATTACAAACGGCGACATCTGTTTATAGAAAGATAAATTAGTTCATTTTATTAAACGAAATAGTAGAGAAATTTCTAAAAAAGTGCATTACTGTTTTATAATAACACTAATAGGGCCCGCAACAAGCTCCATTATTCAATATTCTACTGGGTGTGAGAAGTTATTTTCTATTTTCTAATATCCTTAACTATTTTGATAACATTTATTCCGGTACATTTACACAACTTCATTTGTAGTTTATATCGTTTATATATTTATCGGTGCTATTTTATCTAAACCTAATTTAGATACCGGATATTAAAAGCCTTAGATTAAAACCTAATCAGATTCTTTTTGATAATGTCTTTTGGGAAGATTAAATTTAGAAATCCAAACTATTCAGATCTAATTTATAATCGTGCGTTTGGTTTGGTTTGGTTACATATCTCCGATATCAGTCGTACCACATAATATATAACTATGCAAATACCGTATGATCGAAAAAAAAAACGGTGTGGAAATGATGATCACCCTTGACAGTCCCCATATAATTTTACATATAAAACCGATCTTCATTTCATAGCTATCGCTGACACCGTTTTTTTTTCCAATTATAGTCTAGCCTGTCACATATTTAGGTACTCTCTTTGTAGTTGGGCCCATTGTTGTCTATTATCACAGGTCTGCGAAAAAAAAGTTTTTGAAAATTGTTTTTATTTTAACGGCTGATTTTTAACTAACTTTGAGCGCTGATTCCAAAAATAAAATTCATTTTTTTCTATCACGTCTGGTTATCACACAAAAAGGACCTACTTTGGGGGAAAAAATCAATTAAACAAAATTTTTAAAATAATTCTTAGGGCTTTAATTTTTATTTAACATTAAGGAGTACTATATTTTTTTACATTCATATAATGATATACTAAAAAAAATCATTTTATTCAAAAGTCTTTATAAAACCGCTTTCGCTTGACATCGATACTTCTTTTAGTGCTTTTCTTGCTGTGGGTACACTCAGGATCGTATCTTTTTAACATCCAGCAGTAATCTGCTATCATATTGACATTCCATCTTCCTTGATACATTCTTTCCATTTCTTTGATGTCTTCATGAAATCTCTCTCCCTGTTCTTCACTGACTTCATATCTTGGTGATAGATATGAAGGAAAGTAGTCCAGATGGGAGTAGAGAAAATGGATTTTAATGCTCATGTTGCAGTTTAATTTCTGAAAATTATCCAATATTGTATCAATGATCGCTTGGTATTTGGGGTCTTTTTTGTTTCCCAGAAAATTTATGACGACTTCTTTGAAGTATACCCATGATGCTTTTTCTCTGGCATTCATTTGCTGCTGAAAGTTAGCATCCCTCATCAGATTCCTGACGTCAGGTCCAGTAAATACGCCTTCTTTTAGTTTCGCCTCGGATAAACCAGGAAACTGCCCACAAACATATTGTAGTAATATCTTATTAGGATCTACAAGGCTCTCCCTAACAACATTTTTATCTCCAGCCTGCAAAGTTTTTCTCATTGGCCATTCTTTTTTAACAGTGTTGTTTTCGATCGCGACTATCCCACTCGCAAACAAAGCAAGGAAACTTTGTGTAGCCACTTTGTTGTCCAAGCAACATGGAAGTGCAGGCAAATGATGAGTGATGCAGTTCTGAAAGAATTCTTTTAGCTTGTGCTAGTACAGCTCTCGAGTGAAAAATAGAATGCTTATTGCAAAAGCAAAATTATTTTCTGTTTTTATTTAATTTCTTGCAGTATTTACACATCAAATATAAAAATTATTTAACAATATTTCTACCGTTCTCGAATTAAAAAGGGCTAATATATTTAAAAAATAAGCAAACTAGCCTATAGTGGCTATGCCATTTGTAAGAAAACTGTACGTGATGGTTTTTTTTACTATTTTTGCCGTAATCAACGTTAAACATATTACAAAAATCACTGGTAATAGTTCAGAGAATTTTTCCGTCGCAGACCTGTATTGGCTATGCGGGCCCAAGTTATCCCTGCTAATTGTATAATATCATGGTTCCATCTCAGATTCGGTGTTCTTCTAGGTCTTCATTCATTCCTCATGGGTACCATGCTGTAATTTTTGTGGTTCATCGGTTGTCCATCCTTCTTGCCAAGTATCCTGCCCATTGCCACTTGAGGGATTTGACTCTGTGGATGACATCTATTACATCTGGGTCTTTTGTCGTATCCATTCTAGTCTTTTACGGTCTCTCTTGATTATTCCCAGCATATTTAGTTCCATTGAGCATTGTGTGACCTGCAGTTTCCTTATTGGGCACTTAAGACGGACATAATACCGTCTTAAGTGACCAGGTTTCGCACACATGGGTCATCACTGGTAGTACACATTGGTCGAATGTTTTCTTCTTTAGATAAAATGGCGTTCTAGTTTCTTCCATAAGTACTCCACGCTAACTTAATTCTTCTGTTGATTTCTGGTAGAAGAGATTCCGAGCTGTGTATTAGTTGTCCCAAATATACGTATTCTTCTACTCTTTCCAGTGTTGTTTTATTTATTAGAATGTCTTTTCTGTCCACTAGTTCTACATTATTTCAGTTTTTGCTAAGTTCATTTTGAGACCAACTTTATTGCTGGCTGTATTTGTTTCGTTAATTTGTGCTTGTAGTTCTTCAGGGCTATTGGCAATTATGACTATGTTATCAGTGAATCTGAAGATTTCTCCTAATGTTGCTGTAAACAGCTTTGGGGATATTGCGTCTCCCTGAAGCCGCTTCTAAAGCCTGCTTGTTCTCGTGGTTGTGCAGTGTCTAGTGTGTTTTGTATTCTGTTGTTTATTATTTTTGTAAATATCATGTTGTTCTTTGCGAATATCTTTTTAGATCATATTGTATATTATATAGTCGTACCAAAGTTTGTAGCACGAATGGTTGTCATCCTGGCGGACTCAGAATTTGTATTCGTCGTTGTTTTTTAACTTCAATCTACTAGTGTTCATTGAGGAGTTCTGTTAAAACCCTGTGATAATCCGAAGATCTCTCTTACTTAAATCTAGGAAAATCTTTGATTCTTCTCGGTCTGAGAAATTTGAGTGTTGGAGGACACCCATTCCAGTTTACAGATAGGGTCTACTAGGTTCTTAAGTTCCGCTCTAAGTTGGTTGATCCCCATGAGAAGCAGAACGGTTCTGGTCCAGTTAGTTGAGTGTTTTTTTTTCTAGCTAGATATACAAAAACCACAACCCAACCCAAATCAAACCCACAAGTAATACTAGCATTATTGGTTCTAATGGATAATGATACTAACATTAATGGCTTCGCACAGGCTAGCTCTTATTCTCAGTTATTGCCATAAAAAATGTTCTAAAGTGGTATGTTTTGTACTTATGTTGTAGGGAAGTTTATGCCCATTTTTTTTAAATTTAAACGAAGATAATAATCATTAAAATTTAATAAGCTTATGTTCAGTTAAATAAGATAAGCTTTAATATAACTAAAGATAAGCTGTAATGTTTAATATATACCTCGAAAGAAGTGAAATCTTTCATGACACACATATATAATATATTCTGAAAAATTATTTTTATCAAACAGTGATTGGTGTGTTTGTTACTGTTACTTTTGATTTTTCGATCATATAAAATGTATGTATCACAAAGTATTCGTAACTCATTCCTCTTTTTTGTACTTTTGAAAACTTTTGCTGGTCTGACCAAAAAACATTTTGCTGCAACAGAAGATAAAACTTCAACAACTTCATACATCATTGGTCACGTGTAAATGATCATAAAAATTTTACATTTTACTTATCTCTTACTAAAAAATACTTGAACTTTTGGACTAGCAAAACATGCATTATTCTACTTTTTACTACAATTTAAATTAGGTACATAATTCTTATTCTCATTATATAACAAAAATTAAAAATGCACCTTAAAGTAATTTATTCAAAAAATATAATAATGGAAAATTTTATCCAAACATTAATTCAATATGTAAACATCCTTTCCCGTTAACAATAATTAACTTAGTACAATAAAAAATCAAATTACAAATATGTATCAATACTTACTCCATTATGGCAAGTTATTGGGCAAGACTGCCATGGACCAATCCACCATTTGTATGGACATGGATCAGCATTACATATCCTAGTTTTCTCCTTTGGTTTTGGAAGATAATCACACAGTTCTTCCGCTACTATATTGGGACTTTCTAGATCGGAAGCAACTGGAGATATTGTTCTTTCCTGGCAGAGAGGCTTTCTAAATTGAACACCTATAAACAAAATTGTATTTCTTAAATTAGAGCCTGAGAGTATTCAGCGCCAACCGGCCAAATTTGCGTGTTCGAGAGTGTCTGCGTCCAACCTACTTAGTTTATTTTACTACGCATGCGAATAGTCAGAATACAAGAATCAATATAGCTCAGTATACTGAGGGCTGGCAAAGGTTAGTCTTGGGTCGAGATTTCCGTATGTAAGAAGAGTACAATACGTTTATAATGTACTGAACAAAGAGAGAACAGTAAAACGTTGCCAAAAGTATGAAATAAACCGAGAAACTGTGCGCATTGCGAAGACACGTGGAAGGGGATATAGCAGATTTGTCACAGTCGACCGGTTGACCCAATCAGTACCTCTGTCAGTACTTAACGTTCTAGGGAAAGGTGTACATCATGCGTTCAGCTTCACGATTTAATTACGTCTCGTGATACTTTATTTGTTTATTTATTAACGAGTCGTTGTAATTTTCCCTATAGCTTGAAAAATTTTAAGTGCAAGTTAGAAACACTTGCCTTTTTGGTAAAAATAAGTGGAATTGAGTTGGTGTTCGACAGTGGTCGCGCTATTAGAACTCTGAATTCAAAAATCGATATCTCAAAATCTATCAAAAATCTTCTTAATATCTCGAAATATATCTTTTCGAAAAGAAATCTTTTAAAAATAAGCGGTTTGCGAACGTGATTTCACTTTACTTGGGTACTTCATTGGGTACCGGCAACGCCGCAACAGCATACCGTCGCATTTCTCTCACTCCGACTTAATAAGATCCCTATGCGACTTATTTCCACACATGTAAATACCGACCCAAAAGTAGCAGTTGACAGCACGGTATGACTGGTTAAGTAACATAATATAATCAAATATATAATGTGAGTCTTACATAAGTACAAATATTTTCAGGGATGGTAAATCTTGATAAAAGAAACATATTTTCTCTTTACCGTTGTTCAAATAAGTCCACAATAACCGAGATATTTTACTTCAAAAATTAAAAAAAATGATTTTTGGCGTAAATTATGAGAAGCACTGTATCTTTTTTGGGTTTTCTTTTTTGTAAATTCAATCTACTACATATGTTGCCATATTATGAAGATATTATGTTTTTTAACTAAAAATTAAAAACATTTCCAATTTTTTTTTCAGAATTCCGAATTTTCAAAAAAAGATCCGTTAGAAAAACCTCATTGATGGATTTCTAAGATCGAAATATACAACCCCTAAAAGTATTTGCCCTATTTAAGACTCACCCTGTAGGTATAGTCGGCCAAACGCGAAAAGTGTGCTTTTTGCCATCTACCCGGAATGGTTGGATAGACTTCATCGGCTGGTACTTATATAACTGTGGCTACGAGCGTCACAGAGCAACGATCGCCTTCTCTTAAGGAGCCAAACGATGCACATGTGATGCCCAAGTGATGACGCTCGTGCCATATTCTTAGTTAGTTCGCACTCTACGGTAGTTAAATTGCAATAACGAAAAACTAATGTACCAAAATTGGTGATTATTTCAATTTACTTTGAGAAACCCTATTGAAAAATGAAGAAAAACTATTTATATTAAATAAAGGCCACACTGTGTATTGTTTGTTTTAAATGAATATTCAGTTATAATGTTATGTTAAATACTTATTGCTTTTCTATATATTCAATTACTTGCATTCTAATTGTATATAGCCTGTTTTCTGTAATCAAACATAACGTGCCTCAGCTCTTATTTGAATTTAGATAAAACTCATTTAAGTGGAGTAGTTATTTATGGAAGTCACGCACGTTTACCTTTGTATAGTTTCCACGTAAGTATAATTTAAAGATATACTTTCTGATTTTTTTTATTCAACGTAAATTTGATACAGACAGGTAATACTTTAATCGCAGAAAATTAAATAAATAAAATGTTATTTAAGACAATAAAAATACAGTGCGATTTAACTAAAATTGCGAATAGTTTTAAGACAACAAATTCTTGTAGTTTGGACGTAATTACTAATTATGATGATATGAATGCAAATTTGTACGTTAATATATTTACACGATTTCAGAAATCTATGTAATTTAAATATTTTTAAATACTTTATCTAGACATTTCATGAAATACCTGGGCATTTTATAGAATGTCTATATAACATTAGGAAAGGTATAAAATGTAAACTTATAAGAGTATTAATTAAACTTTACCTTTAATTACAGAAACATTTAACTTAACAAAAGTAACAGGAACATAACAAATAAAAAAAGATAAAAAATTGTAGACTTTCTTGCAGTGCAAGTGGCGAAATACCCAGAAGGTTTTTTGTAAAACGTAAAAAATATCTCACAAATATGTCTTAACACCTATTAAAATCGATTTTTCTATTTATTTTTGCAGGGAAAACTCGACATTTACTTGAACGTGAACATTTTGCTTGTTTCTTTTTACACAAGCATGTGACCAAATTTAATAGCGGCAGGCTTTATGCCGTAGAGGTGGGAATTCTAATTCCTTGGGAGGAACTAGTTCTAGAGCACTAGTTCCTCCAGAGTAATAGTTCATTCAACTAGGTCTTTAGTTCACATTAGTTCCCGACTAACATTTATAGCCCCGTTGCTTGCTCGTGAGTTTTGTTATAAATCAGAACTATTCCTAGTATGATCTGATGATATGTATTTTACGAATAATTGTATTTTTCATCACTTCAATCTCTGTATAAGCGTCAATATTATTAGAATTTCACGTTAAGTAAAATGATAATGTCTTTCAAAGGTCAAAAGATGTTCTTCTTCTGCGTCCTCCCCTCTTGGACTCTCTTGGACCAGTCCATTTTCTAACTGCACCTTACAGGGTTGCCGTAGTTAACCCAACATACCGCCCCCCTTGAAAGCACTCCGTGTTTCAAAGATGTTAGTCTTCGTTGCTCGGGAAAACACTAATCTTTGTAACAGGACGTTTGAATGTTCCATTGA